TATTATTAATTTTATTAAATGTATATATACATATATATATATATATATATATATATATAATTCAATTTTTCAATTTTCAGCTCTTATAGAAATGAATGGATGTAACTAAAGGGATTTGTTGATGAGGGTCGAGAAAATGTTGAATCTCATTTGTACTGAAAAACCAATAAAAATGCAAATAAGGCATTAATTAAATATGCACAAATTTTGCATGCATCCTAAAATTTACACATCTGTTTTTGAATTTCATGTACTTCATCGCATGAATTTTTGATGATATAAGCAAACAACAACAAAAATGTAGAGAAAACCCATGTTTTATCAACATCTACACACAAATTATAAGAAATGATGAAATACATATTATATAATATGCAAGAGTCATAACATAATTGGGAACCTGTGTTGAAAAACTGGTGCATGCATGTTTAATGAGATAAAACTAGATTAAATGAGTTAAGTTGTTTTCATGAAAGAGAAAATATTATAGTAAAAATATCATTTATTTCTGTATAATAGTAAAATGCTGTGAGTGTGTGTGATCTTACTGGACTCAAAGGTGGTCCCGTGGGCCGTCATACTCCATGTACTGCTCCTGCGGCTCTTGGTCACCATAACGGAGAACTCATAAAGCGTGTTGGGCTTCAGAGCCGTTACCGTATGGAACAGAGACGTGGTGTTTGCCATCTTACAAAACAAGCAACAGACAAACACATTAAAAAAAGTTGATCACCGCATATTGTAACACATATGACTATTAAAAATATATAGTATATACTATGTAGTATGCAGTAAGCAGTACACTAGTATTCCATTCCAAACAGGTATTTAATGCATTCTGAGCAAGTGAACACTAGAGGGCGCTCCAAGCACGGGGAAAAAAAACTATAGTGAACTGAAATACTCTCTTCAGAATCAGTGTTATTTTAGTATAATTGAGCTACTATTATAGTTTTGACAAAGTTTTTGAATTAGTTTTTATTTTGAAATCATCTCAAAGTTTTAGTAATTTCCTTGTGTTTTTGTATTTTGTTTTAACTGTTTATATATTTATTTTATTTAATATAATTTTATTTCAGTTTTAGTTATTTTAGCAAATTAAATGAAAATGACAAAGGTTGTCTTGGCAACTGGCTGAAATAAGTTTCATTTTTTTTCTCCATTTTACTTTGATTAACATTTATTTTATTTCAAGCAAATAAAATTGTATGATTTTAGTTTTAGTTACTGCTACAGTCCTCTTTAGAACATCAGTTTAAGTGATGAAATAAAGCTGTTTTGAACACTAAATAAACCAATGTTATGAAATGTGACCTTGGACCACAAAACCAGTCATAAGGGTAATTTTTTGAAATTGAGATTTATACATCATCTGAAAGCTGAATAAAACAGTTTTCCATTGATGTATGGTTTGTCAGGACAGGACAATATTTGGCCGAGATCTGAAAATCTGGAATCTGAGGGTGCAAAATAATCTAAATACTGAGAAAATTGCCTTTAAAGTTGTCCAAAAAGTTGTCCAAATGAAGTCCTTAGCAATGCATATTACTAATCAAAAATTAAGTTTTGATATATTTATGGCATGAAATTTACAAAATATCTTAATCTTTACTTAATATCCTAATGATTTTTGGCATAAAAGAAAAATCAATAATTTTGACCCATACAATGTATTGTTGGCTATTGCTACAAATATACCCCAGCGACTTAAGACTGCTTTTGTGCTCCAGGGTCACATATGTATACACACTTTTTATTTAATGATAAAAAAATGTATAAATACATAAAACTCAATGTTAACTAAATGCATAGAATGCATAAATGAAATATAAATAAATATAAAAATTCTTTATGCAAGTATATATTTAACTTGAAATTCAAATAAATTAAATTAAATTTAAATTTTATTAAAAAAATACATTTAATATAAATTTAATTTTTAGTGTTATGTTTTAATGGCTGGTAACTGTTTTGACCATTAAACTTCTAAACATCTAAAATAATATTTTACATATCTTATGTGATATTATTTAATTATGTATTAATAATATGTATAATAATATTATAAATCATATTGGCATAATTAGTCAAAATTATTAATGCATTTAAAACAATGTCGTGTGTCTTTAATTTCCTTCTGCATTAGAAACGTGTTTAATTACCTTGATCACTTGACATTTTGTCTGATGGCTCAGCTGGAAACAAAGACAAACAGAATGAATAAATGAGCATCAGTTAAGTTTTAATAGGCGAGTCTAAACAAGGCTGGGGCTTTACCTTTCGGGGTGCGGAACTGCGCCACGTCTGACATGGGTCCCATGCCTTTGGAGTTTCTCGCCTGGATCTTGAAGTAGTATGTTGTGACCTTGGACCACAAAACCAGTCATAAGGGTAATTTTTTGAAATTGAGATTTATACATCATCTGAAAGCTGAATAAAACAGTTTTCCATTGATGTATGGTTTGTCAGGACAGGACAATATTTGGCCGAGATCTGAAAATCTGGAATCTGAGGGTGCAAAATAATCTAAATACTGAGAAAATTGCCTTTAAAGTTGTCCAAAAAGTTGTCCAAATGAAGTCCTTAGCAATGCATATTACTAATCAAAAATTAAGTTTTGATATATTTATGGCATGAAATTTACAAAATATCTTAATCTTTACTTAATATCCTAATGATTTTTGGCATAAAAGAATGTATTGTTGGCTATTGCTACAAATATACCCCAGCGACTTAAGACTGCTTTTGTGCTCCAGGGTCACAAATATGACTCCAAAGAGACGGTGGATACCTTGTATTTGGTGTTGGCGGGGATGTTGGTCTTCCAGCGGATGGTGTAATATCTAGAGTCGGTGATCTTCTGGTTCTTGGCGAGCGAGTTGTCGGCCCAGCTGACTTTGACTATCTGATGGGTCAGTCTGTTTCCCACCACGGGCTCCACCACCCAATCATGGACCTCGGCGTTCACATCGGTGCTGTAGTAGATGATGTACCCTGAGAGACAGAGATTTATTCCACGTCTGAAAATCATCCTTTTCTGTTTGGATGCACGACTGGTTCTGTAAATCCTGTCATCGGCATCCATAATGTAAATCAGGCATGTCATGTCAGTCTAAAATTTGTTTCATGTCATGCAAATAATGTCACAATGCAAAATGATCTTCTAGTTGATTATCTTCAATTCATATTTTGTGGTGTAATATGACCGGGACATGGTTTTGGGGTACCTGTGATTTTGCCATTGGCTTCAGTCGGAGGCTGCCAGTTGATGTTGATGATTCGAGGATTTCCCTCTTTACTGATCACAGTCACATCTTTCGGAGCAGAGCTGGGTACTACAAATCACATTAAAGGCAGAGAATACAAGCAAATACTGTAAAAAGGCTATTACTAAAAGCTTTGCTATAGCAATCTGTCCCAAAATCATGTTAAAATGCAAATAAGATGCTTTTTGACTGTGTCGTGGCTGAGGACGGTGGCCTGAACGCCCACCGGGGGCAGCATGGGTGTGGGGTCGGGTGCTGGGGTGTATGGGTTATTAAAGAGTTCATAAAAATCAATATCAGGGTCTATGGGGTCTGACAGCAGCGTAAATAAATGGAGAACAAAATAAAAAAACAAAAAACAAAATCACATGGGTTTTAAAAATATGGAAGGATTGATCAGGGTTAGACAACATAAAATGGATTAATGGTTCAGTGGTGGACGAGTGAGAGGAAAAATGAATGAAAAAGAGAAAGAGAGATATTATTAGAATTAAAAAGCTCCATATTTAATTTAAAACAGTAGATATGCAAAAACATTGATTACAATTGGTGTCAAATGGACAATTTCTATTACAAGTCTTGGATTATGTTGCAGCATTTAAAGACATACAGAAAAATACTCACTGAAAATTACAAGAAATAATACAAGGTCAATATCTGCAACAATTACCACAGAAAATAATTTCAACTCATTTCTCAGATTTTAAAAAGACAAAAATCAAGTACACACAGTGATGTGTGGTACATGTTGGCTAAATCATCCTTTTAAGCGTGTTGAACAGTAATAATAATAATAATAATAACTATTATTATTATTATTCAAAATATAACAATATTAAAATACAAGAAAAATAACAAAAGATACTATCACAATAATACTACTATACTGTAAAATAATAAAAATAATATTTATAATAGTATTTAAAAAGAAATATAACAGTGTTCAATAATAATAATTATTCAAAATATTTTTTACTTTATTTGATTTATAAAAATACAAAAAAGATAAAATATAAAAATATATTACTATTGCAATATTATTTTACTGTAAAAGAAAAAAATGAATAATAGTAGTATTTATAAAAGTAATGATATTAATAATAACTTTAATAAAAATATACATATAATAGAATTTAAAAATAATTATTATATCAATATTTAATAATAATAATAATAATCATTATTATTCAAAGTATTTTTACGTTATTTGATTTATATAAATATAAAAAAGATAAAATATTAAAATATATTACTATTGCAATAATACTATTCTACTGTTATATATATAAAAAAAGAATAATAGTACGTTTTATAATAGTATTTAATGATAGTAATGATAATAATACTAATTTTAAAACTATAATAATAATTATCTGTCCTATTACAGTGTTTTTTCTGCTCATTTAAGAGAGGCAAATCCAAACGATCCTGTAATTAACAGCATGTTGCTGATCAATAGAGCTTTGAACATTTAATTAAGATACACCTGGAATTGCTATTGATTTTTCTGTGAAAATATCCACTGATTTTGTTGTCGTCAACAGCAACAACAGAAAACGCAGGCTCAGCAGAAAACAGCTATAAATGATTGTAGCAAACAAGCTAACGTTCATCCTCAACTCATTTCTGGGTCATTTTGTGCTCTAGCTTAGGAAACTCGAGAAAAGTTATGTGAAGCCTAACAGAGTGGGATCTGATGTGAATCTCGACCTGACAGGACGGCAGGGGGTCTGGAAACCTCTAACAGCGGCGTTCGGCTGTCTGAGACATCTGACGTAAAGCCAATGAAAGAGACGTGAGCGCACATCACACCTGTAGGTTTGGATGTGCGTCCCAGAACTGAGGGGGGCAGACGGATGCGCGGTATCTGTCACCTCACATTTAACACGCACACACACGAGCGAGGAAGAGATTGTAGTTTCTCTTCACTACAAAACAACGTCTGACTGACTTCTAGAGCCTGAAGCGTTACAGATTTACACCACGCTTCGTTTCTGGTGCAAAAACGCAAATATGCTAGATGTCTGATGCTAGATATAAGAGAGACACAGTTAAGCATGTGAAAACGGACCACAAAACCAGTCATAAGGGTCGATTTTTTGAAATTGAAGTTTATGCATCATCTGAAATCAGAATAAATAAGCTTTCCATTGATGTATGTATGGTTTGTTATGATAGGACAATATTTGGCTGAGATACAACTATTTGAAAATCTGGAATCTGAGGGTGCAAAAAAATCAAAATATTGAGAAAATCATCTTTCAAGTTGTCCAAATTAAGTTCTTAGCAATGCATATTACTAATCAAAAATTACGTTTTGATATATTTACAGTAGGAAATGTACAAAATATCTTCATGGAACATGATCTTTACTTAATATCCTAATGATTTTTGGTATAAAAAAAAAAAGGATAATTTTGACCCATACAATGTATTGTTGGCTATTGCTACAAATATACTCGTGCTACTTAAGACTGCTTTTGTGCTTCAGGGTCACAAATATGCTTCAAAATAACATGAAGTGTGTATTTTTGTCTTCTGATCCTGTCTGAATGGACATGCGAAAGCTGGCACAATAAAAACCTCAAACTATGGTACAGTCAGTGTGTTTGAGAGTCTCACCGGATTGAGGTCTCGTCGTGGCGCTGTTGTAGATGGGAATGCCTTCGCCCATGTTGTTGAACGCCTTGAGGGTGATGACGTAATGGGAACTGGGATCTGGAGTGGAAAACATGATAAACAGTCTAAAAGCGTCTGTAAACACACCTAATGTCAGCATCAGACTGACTGTTTGTGGCGTTACACACACCGAGGTTATCGATGCTGTAGAAACGCTGCTTGTAATCCAGAGTGACTGTGTGGGCGTGAGGGCTGCCGATTCCGTATCCGATTTTATAACCTCGCACTAAAACGTCCTGGTTTTCTGGAGGAGTCCAGCTCACCACGATTCGGTTCACCAGCGGACGAACATGAAGAGAACTCGGCACTCCTGGAACCTGAGACTCTGTAACACACACAAGCTAGAACATGCTCATCTTTGACAATTTTCACATTTTATATGATTTGATATTTTAAATAAAAAAAGTTAAACAATAATTAAAAAAAATATATATTTATAATAATGAATTAATATATATATATATATATATACTGGTTGTTTTTTTAATAATAATAAAAAAAACAAGTTCAATATTTTATTAAAATGAACAAATATATTTATATATATATTTTTTTTTAAATATTATTCAACTTTCATATGATTGTTAAGCGCATTGGGTGTACAACAATACACAATAAAGTGCTATGTAAATGCATCATTCATTCATATGTATTCAGATATTTTTATTTTAATATATTTAAAACCACAAATAACACTTAAGAATGAAATTGAAAGTATGCAGACAAAATTGATAGTGTAGCAGACAAACCTGCAATAGAGACTATTACTGCTGAAATGACATCAATCAATGTTCTCTTTCAAGCACAAACACACTGAGAGGACTGTCAGAAAACAATTTCACAATCAAGCATGAAATGAATTGTTTACAGCATTGGAGCTGAGGTCGGGTGTAGCGCTGAGCTAAACAGCAGCTGTTAAGCACAAATTCATTAGCGTATATTGAGCTGACTGCTGTAGGAGCAGAGAAATCCATTCGTATTTGTTTTGGCCAAGCTTAAAAGCAAAACTTGTGTAAACGGATCCACAGACAGCTTCGTTTTATTAGTGAATCGCAATTTGAATTTATCTTAGCGGCCGGTTCTAATGTCTGCTCTGATTTATAAGGCAACGCTGCTAATTTCCGACAAAACCTTTTGGATTTAGAGTCATTAAATTGACTCATTATTTCAAACACTGGCCTATTTGTGGGGCTAATTCAAGTAGGAGCGGATGAAGCGGAGGCATTAGCGCTTGAGAGAGATGCTTTGGTCTGGCTGTCACAGAGCTTCTCCCATTTTAGCAGATGGAAATGAGCCCAAAGAGGGTTTGAGCGCGCGCGCACACACACACACACACAAACACACAGTGCCGGGGTCCAATTGTCACTGAAAATACAAGCTATTAATCCAACTCAGCCGTCTAAATCAGCCGAAATGCCTCCGTGTCTGTTTGTTCCCTTAATTTCAGAGTTCCTGCTGCTCTTTGATGAGGATGGAAGGGAAAAACACATAAGAAATGTTCCTCTCGCAACAAACCAGCAGCTTCCTTCAACACAGAAATATTACTTTCAATTACTGGCTGAATCTCAAAAGGAAATGTCTGGGTCCTCATAATAGTAATAATAAATTATAATTTATATAACAAAAACAAAATCGATTTTTGACCATAATGCTTATTTTCATTGTGATAGTATTTTAATGATAACTGAACACATTAAATTCTAGATTAAATTAAATCCCCCTTAAATTCTGATGATCACATGCAACTCACACTATTTATTTAAATAATCAATAAATATAATGAATGCAATAAATAATACCATGATGTATAATAAAAACAACTGCACTTAAATGATGAATCAACATTTTTTCCTATTACAGTAACAAAATTATGGGCAGTATGTGCTTAATTGTATTTATTTGTGCTTAACTGTTAAAATGGCCATACATATATATATATATATATAATTTATTATTATTTTCCTCATCATTTTGAGTTGAAATGAATGACCCAGAATGTTCTTGACAAAATACAAAAAAAACGCCCTAAAATAGACATTTTTTTAATGCAAAATATAATTTATTATTATTTTCTTCTTCATTTTGGGTTGAAATTAATGACCCAGAATGTTCTTGACAAAAAGCAAAAAATGCTCGTAAAAAAAATAATGGCCCAGAAAAGGCTGTAATGGTCCTCAAAATGGACTTAATATTTTCATACAAATTATAATTTACTATAATTTTTCTCTTTATTTTGTGGTGAAATTAATGTTCTCAGAATGCTCTTGACTAAATAAATAAATGAATGAATGAATGGCCCAAAAAATGGCCATAACTGCCTGAAAATATTTATTTTGCTAATATACATAATATTTTACTATGCAACATATTTTAAAACTATTTAATATATTTATTTAATGTGATATTTTTTCTCTTTGATTTTGGGGTTAAGTGAATGACCCAAAATGTTCCTTATATCCATTCTTTTACGCTAACAGTGGAAACGGGCAGAACATGAAAGTGGTGGATCTTTTCACTTCTTCCACACAGATCTAACACAACAGCTGTGGCAGTAACCTAACAGCTCAGACACGATTAAAGTGAATGACCCAAAATGTTCCTTATATCCATTCTTTTACGCTAACAGTGGAAATGGGCAGAACATGAAAGTGGTGGATCTTTTCACTTCTTCCACACAGATCTAACACAAGAGCTGTGGCAGTAACCTAACAGCTCAGACACGATTATCTGAGCCCGATGTCACGAGTAATCACATCAGCGCTTTCTCAAGCCTGAAATCAATTGAATTTACTGTAACCGACTCAGCAGCCATGCGCCAGTGTAAAGTTTTCTTCTTATGGCATTCGGAGTCTTTAAACGGACACATTAATCCAAATAATTCAAAGGCTTTTCATTTAACAATAGAAGTGCATTAAACAAATGCCATTTTCCCAGGATTCCCCTCTCCGTCTCACACCAGAAGAGCGTTTAACAGACTCCTCCAGTGGAAGGACGAGTGAATTATGCAGCGGCTCTTTCAGTATTGATGAAGTCTGCCATTTGATCCGTGAGAAATAAAGTTCTTCACATCCCGAACAAACACACCTGACACACACAGAGAATTACACCAGCAGGAAGCTCCAGGGAAGAAAGTCAAAGTGAAGGAGGAAAAGCGGCGTGTTTGTTTACCGTCCAGGTCGTTCTCGAAGGTTTCGGCTGCGATCCACTCGGTTGTCGGGCCGGTTCCGTTCACGGTGGAGGCCGACACTCTCACGGTGTAAACCTTTCCCTTCTCCAGACCTTAAAGACAACAAAACCAGCATCCATGTCACGAGTCGGTGAATTAAATACACAAACTATGTGTTACATAAGTGGCAGTTCTCTAGACTCAGCAACCTAAGCACTATTCTTAAGATTTATGATGCTTTTTTTTTTTTTTTTACATTTCCTGAGTAAAAATGGGTTTTTGCCCATTTCTTAGTGGTTTCTCACTGATTCAAGTAAAAGATATGCTAGATTTGACTTGAGTCCCTTCCAGTAAATCCAGTAAGATTTTTGTCACCATTAATTCATTATTTTATTTGGTAGAAGTGTTGTTATCATTAACTAAAACAATTGAAAATAGTGTTTTTTTAGTTATTGAAATAAAAAACAAATATTAGATGAAAAATATTTTTTAAATAAGTTAAATAATTAAAAAAAAAAAACGTTTTTAAAACCAAAATCGTCATTAAAATATACATAGAAATATAATAAAATTATAACAATTACAAAAGCACATACGAATGATTAAATAAATCTGAAATGAAATAAAATATAAATATTACATGGGAAAAATAAATGTTTTAAAAAGAAATGAAATTTTGCAGTTTAAGTTGCAGTTCTAAGATTACTTGAACTGGGAAGTAAATGTATTGAAGCTATATAGAAATATAAAAAAATAATAAAAATGACAAAAGCAAATACAAATCACTAAATAAAGCTGAAATAAAATATAAATATTACATGAAAATCTAAGTTTAAAAACTTAAACGAAAATAAGAAATGGTGTCTTGGCAACTAACTGAAATAAAAACAAGTTTAAGTTGCAGTTCGAAGTTTTTAAAACTGAAATAAAATCAGCTATTAGCTACAAATTAAAAAAAGCTATTTAGAAATAATAAAATAATAACATAAAAATAATAAAAAACAATAATGTATAAAACAACAAAAACTAAACGCTGAAATGAAATAAAATATGAATATCAGATGAAAAATCTAAATTCTGAAATGTTATAAAATTACAATTAGAAATGTTAACAGAAATAAAAATAAGCTGCAGCTCTAACATTAAAAAAAAAGGAATAAAAATGACAAAAGCACATAAAAATACTAAAAGCTGAAATAAAATATAAATATCTAAATGTAAACAACTTAAACGAAAATTAGAAATGTTGCACTGGCAAATAAATAAACAAACAAAATGAAATAAATAAGAAATTAAAGCCATATAGAAATATTTTTAAACAAAAAATAAAAATGCAAAAGCACATAAAATTACTAAAATTAAAATAATGAAAATGAACTAATTCAACTATGAATAAAAACTACACTAGTACAAAAATGAAACTAAAAGCGTGTTCTGTAGGGATGGGGGTTTGTCGTACCGTCAATGAGCTGAAAGAGCTGTGTGGTTGAGATCTCTATTGTGTCTGCTCTCCTGAGTCCTTTCCGGTAGCGTAATTTATACCCCGTCAGCTCTCCGTTCAGGGTACCAGGGGGAGGCAGCTGCCATCGGACCATGATGCTCTGGGGCGTAAAACAGGACACACGCTGAGCTTAGAACCAGAGCAAAGCCATCTCAGCGAGAGTCGAGTCTCAAAAGTTAGTGGATTTTAATTAAGCAGCGGAGCGCATTCTATAAACGTCTAGAGGTCTGCAGTTCTTCAGGTGCGCCTGCAAAGAGTGTGTCAGCCAGAGAGCTGTCAGAGCCAATGCTGTCATGCGTCATGAGTTCATTTCAGAAAGACAGCTGAGCGGAGCAAAGCCTTCAGGCTACGCAATAATGAATGAAGAAAAAACCCAAGTATGCTTCATGAAACAGGAGATGATCCAGGATCAGCTCTGACTGCCAGATGCCTCATCTAAATTACAGTCCTGACGGTGGCAAGCATGCACATGAAAGCATACAAACTCTCTGCATTTGGCCGGTTCCGATAATTAATCTTTAACTTCTGTTTCGGGAAGTGACTAATGAGTAATTATTAATTTTAACAGACTTAAAGTAACTTATTACAGGCTCTTACAGAAACGTATCGTGGCCAAAATGTCACTGATTGGATGAACCTCGCAAGAACTGTCAAGAACATGTCCGAGTCATATTTCACCCCAAAATTAGAAGAATTAAGATATTACATTTTGCACAAGGAAAAATTGGTCTTCTAGCTACTTTTGGGACCATTGGGAACCCTATAAGATAGGGTTTGCAGTGTGTTGTCATTTTTTATGACAATGAAGCAAAATTTCTCCCGTATTCTAATTACTCCATATTCTAATAGTTCCTTGTTTGGAACTATTTTCGTTAACCAAATCGAGCAAGAAGAGTCAACATTGACAATTTTGTACCGTAGCCTATATTAACTACTTTTGAACTGAACTGAGCTGTTTACTATTGTCCTTTTGCATTATTGACACACTATTTTCCTATTTAATACTGTAAAGCCACTTTGACAATCTGTATCGTTAAAAGCGCTATATAAATAAAGGTGACTTGACTACTCGTTTGAACTCTTGTATAAAATCAATGTCAAATCTGCTATCGTGGTTTCAGGGAAAACTTCACTCTCAGTCATGTTGCTTAACTAGGCTATATGTTATAAATATAAAAACTAAGCTACATTTGTTTATTAGTTACATCAGTTGATTTCTCCACGAGATTGTTTCACATACAGTTAGTCAGAAATGACAGAAAAATTCTGAATGCTTCCTATACGGTTTCCATATTTTTCCTCTATGGTTTTCCAGTAACATCAATGAGTTTAGTAATTGTAGTATTTAAGCTACTGTTGGGCTTATTTTCCTGGCCTGAGGTGTCTTCATCAAGGCCAAACTGGTGATAGGTTGATGGTGATGAAGGTTCAAAGCCCACAGTGGCTGATGTACCCAGATCTTTAATCACTACAACACGAAAACATTCATCAGCAGAGCACTCGACTAATAAAAGAGGATCTTACCGTTGAGTTCAGGACCTCCAGAGTGAGGTTCTGCGGCGGAGCGCTCGGCACTGAAACAAACAACAGATTTATTATTGAGAACTCCACTCAAATAATTGCTTTATCCACCGAGACCCACATTCAAAGACTCGTGACGGATGTTTATTTTTGGATGCGGCTGTCGTTTTTTTACACCTTCATTCTGCTTTTTGTTCCGTCTCTTGTCCTTTAAATGAGCGCTGGAGGATTACGCTCGCGGCGGAGACAGTAGCAGCCGTTGTTTATGTGTGTTTGTGCATGTGCCAGCGTCAACGTCTCGCTTTAATAAAACACTTCATTATATTATTTACACTTGTGTGCTTTCCGCTGCGGAGTGAGCGTGTATGATTACAACACCACCTGTCATGCGCTCGCCGTCTTCCCGGAGGTCTTTCTGTGACAGGACGTCTCGCTCACGTCCCACAGAGACCAGAGCATGAGAAAGTCAAAATATGGCCAGCTCCGTACATAGACAACATTTTAAGGCATCATAGTCTCACTTTCACAAAAGTCAGGAAGCGTAATTATGTTGCCCTCATTTTGCATTAAAATTAACTTTATTGCGTCTTACTGAAGCATGAAGTTAGTTCTTCACCAAATTGATTTCACATGTGACTTTGAACGCAGCGATAAATTGGAAAAAAAATAAAAATAATGGCGAGCAAACATTTTGTATTTCTGATACAAGTATAATTCATCCAATTGCGAAAATCTCTATTTAAAAAAAATAATTTAAACTAAAAAACTCCCCATTTTAATTATTATGCATATTAGAGAATCACATAAATAAATAAATATTATTTTGACACAGCGATTAATTGTAAAGAAAATGGTGAGAGAATATATCAACATGTTCATATATTTATAATTAATCCGATGCTGAAAAGTCTCTAAAAAATACCATTTCAAAACACTAAAAAATATATATTTTGACGTTTTTATACATATCAAAGTATAACATTATAACATAAATAAAATACTATAAATAAATATTTTTATTTATATAAAAGACAGATTTTACTTTAATTTATAATAAATTACATTTTAGTTAATTTATTTAATTTAAAATGAATTCAATAAATACATTTTTTAGATACATTTTATTCACACTTCTGTAGAAATGGTCTGCAGAGGAGCTGTATTCAGATAATTAATCAAATCTTAATCATATGAAAATACTAATGAAACAATAATTATTATTATTATTTATAATATAATAATTATTGTATATATTTATCAATAAAATAATAAATACATACATATTAGTTAAATAAATAATTAAAAGCATAAATAAATTATATAAATAAACAAATTTCAAGATCTTTTCAAGTCTTGAATAAACTATATTCAGTCACCACTTTGAGCATTGTAATTTCTAACATTCATTTTTCCATGAGTGGTCTGAGGACTAGTGTAGAGAGGCGCGGTACTCGAATAATGAATCAAATAAATCTGAATCAGATTAACTGAAAAGTTGATATTTTGTCCATATCCGGCTTCACATATCTGAGAAAACAGATGCACTTGTTTTCTGTGTCGTTTCATAGTCAAGAAAGCCACAAAACCCAACCGCTATACTGAACCAATGAAAGACATTTGCCTTCCTGTATGCTAATTATTTTTCTTTAAGACTGAACTAAAGTGAACATGTTAGCATGTCACTTAAACGAGTCTTGTGACAACACTGACTCAAAAACATGCTCATGCATACTAAGATCAAATCACTGACAAATCTGTGTGAATGCCAAATCTTCATCTAAACGGAGGCACTTTTAAGTGCTATTTGAAGTCCAAGTCAAGGCAGAGAGAGAAAATCAAACCGGCAGTGAAGGAAAATTAAGTCAGGAGGTTCAAAGTAACACGTCTAAGCGTCAGACTTCATGAAGGCTCACCGTCAGACAGCGTTCGGACCACAACATCCTCAGTGGAGACGCCGGGGCCGTGTTTGTTGTACGCCACAACCCTGAAACTGTACTCTGTAAACTTCTTGAGGCCCGTCACAGTGTAGGACAGACCCGTGACGTCCATGTCCTGCAGAAAAAACACAAACATCAGTTACCTGCACTGCTTTTACTGTAGCATTTAAAGTCAACATAAAAACAAGCACAATTTTTACGACTATTTTCCACCCTCTCTCTTGTTTCTGCTACTGTCTCTTTAAGACTTCTTTGTAACTGACCCGATTTTTGCTAACCCTAACCCTTTACATAAAAATGCTGTGGTGCTATCATGATAAGTAACTTTGCTACTGAATGAATACCATATTCATATATCATAGCATATTTATGGTAATCCAGTGCGGTATTATTATAATATGATGCACAAAAACAAACAACAAACATACATGTCCAACAAGTGTGCCAAAAACATGGTATTACAGGGTAAAATCACAGTAAATGCACACTGAAAATATATAAAACATGGCATTATAATAGTGAATGTCCAAAAAAACGACATAAAAAACAGGATAAAATCATAGTAAATGGGCACAAAATATTTGTTTAAAAAAAAAAAAGGTTTTACCATAGTAAATGGCAAACAAATATGTTAAAAACCCATGGTATTACAAAAGTAAATATGTAAAGCTATATTGAGAAAAAAACTAAAACATGGTATTACAACAGTAAATGTGCAAAAAACTGATGCCCAAAACAGGGCATGATCACAACACATGCACAAAATACATGTAAAAAAATGGTTTTACCATAGTAAAAAAAAAAAAGTAAAAAAAGATGTATATCTACAAAAATATATGTAAATATGTAAAAAAAAAAAAAAAGGTATAATAGTAATTAAAAAATATATATATTGCCAAAATATTGCCATTGTAAATGTACAAAAATATATGTAAAAAGGTATATTATAAAAGAAAATCTCCCAAAAACTAATTTAATACCATGTTTTAATGTTCAGTTGCTTTGACACAATCTGTATTGTTAAAAGCGCTATATAAATAAAGGTGACTTGACTTGACTTGACTATGATAGCATCATGGTACTTCTGTGTTAGTCTGCCATTCATCAGGTTAGGCCAAGTCGCTGTAAACCTGGGTGATCATATGTTAAGGAGCTTCTGGCTGTGATATAATAATCAAGCTTTCTAAATGCTTCTAAACTACAGCTTGATTTCCAGCTTTCATGGGTCCTCACCTGCTCCGAGTCTTGTCCCTTCTCGCTGTAGAAGAGTTTGTAGGTCTGGATCTCGCCGTTTCCAGTGCTGGGTCTCTCCCAGCTCAGCGTGACTGAGGCAGTGCTGACAGAGACCACCTGCAGATTCGGAGCCGGACCCGGGACCTGAACTGAGACACGCAGGGGACGGAACAACTTCAGAGCTACATCTCAAAAAAACAGATACAAATCCACACGACTCCTGCATGAATACAAAAACCCTAAAGTTAATATTTTGCTTTTTTATAAAGTTTTAGGAACAAGACGTGAAAGTAAAGCAGAAGAAACGAAGGCGCATTTGTCTGTGCTTCAGCTTTAAGTATGTTTTTGAAAACAAAGGGCCACTGAAGTAATTTCTTCACAGTGTCTTCCACTGCTTACAGTTCTACTTGAAGCGTCTTTTTTCTTTTGTTTGACACTTATTTTTTTTCGCTTTTGCAAACTTCAACAGTGCGTAGTGACAAAAGACGACACGTTTCAACCCACCGCAGCTGGATACTTTAAATAATGACAATATCACATGGTAAAAGAAGACTATTCTGGTGAGAAAGCAGCATCTGAATCCCGCTGAGGATATTCTGACACTTCAAACGAGCGAAATGCATTGTGCTCCACGTGTGGGATGCAAAGGAAACGGAGGAGTTTTGACCTAGAAAGACCTAAAAAGAGACATTTGTGTTGCTTTAATTCGTTTTGTCCATATAAGTCAAACGGGAAGTGCAGAATACAAAACAGCTACTAGGATGAATCCCAGTTCACAAATTTCAACTGCACACTCAAAGTACATTATTTTAGACAGGTTGAGAATGTTGCAAGAAAACTAATTATAAAATTGTCTTGATAACAAAAACCCCTTTGTCACACTGTATAAAACACATAAAATAGTTCTGACTCTCAATAAAGCTGTTAGAAAGCTGATAAACACCTACTGTATGATGGAAATTTAATTTAAAAAAGAAATTACTTAATAAAGAATATTATTAAAAAGTAATGCATTTAATAATTTTTATTAAGTTGCTACATTGCATGGAAACTACAAATATCCTACACTAATAAACCATATTAATAATAATATGACTAATGACAAAAATAATACAACTTTATTCATAGAGTGCATTTCAAGGTACTCAAAGATGCTTTACAAAACTAATTAAATAATTATAAATATTACTACAATTTTTTTTATTCTAATTATTATTAATATGAATACATTTGACTTCATTTAATATTAGTGGCTTATATTACAGTTGCTGTTTTATTAAAGCAATAAGCCACTTGAGGGTGAGAGTTTTTAAGGCTCTTCTCTTAACCAAGGCTGCAATTATTTAATCAAAAATACAGTAAAAACAGTGAAATTGTGAAATATTACCACCATTCGAAACAACTGCTTTCTCTTGCAATATATGTTAAAATGTAATTTATTTCTGTGATGCAAAGCTGAATTTTCAGCATCATTACTCAAGTCTTAAGTGTCACATGATCCTTCAGAAATCATTCACATATCATTGATATTTTTTGTGGAAAGTGTGACATTTTATTTTTCAGGATTCTTTGATGAATATAAAGTTTAAA